GCAATAGGCATAATATCAGAAGCGTACGTCCGGATGTACGCAGTTAACGAATACACATCTGGGATGAGGCCGTCTACGGTTATTTTTAAAAACCGACAAACCGCATACGCGTGAACACATGGCAGCCCATTCTGCTTCCAATACCCGCATGTACATTCCTGCCTGGACAGATCGATGGTCACTGGATCATGCGAAGTAATAGCTACAGAGTAAATTCCCGTTGTTCGATTGTGCGGGACAATAGTTGTGTGATACCTACGCTGTGACCGCTCAAGAACAGCCTTCCATATGTTCTGTGGATACAAAAATCCAGCTTGGTGCTACATTATCCCCGCATTTCGTCGATCGGCAAATAGTTGGACGACTTTATCGAATGTGGCCTTTACTAGTGCTGTGATAAGCAATGTGCGATTGTGAGTTTCTCGAAAATAAAATAAAATACGTTTATATTTCTCGATTTAAAATAACAATGTAATTTTTAAAATTTAATTTATATATCTTTTTTAAAATAAAACAACATATTTCCAAACAACACCCCCTGGTCGGAAATGGGCAATCCGACTGGGAGATTTTTTTTTTTTACATTTTAATTCGGAAGCACTTAAAAAAGGCATATAAATATTTCTATAAAAATACCCCAGTCGGATTTCAGAAATCCGACAGCTTTAAAAATCAATTTTTTTTTTACTTTTTAATTCTGATAGCATTTAAAATAGGCAAACAAAAATTTCTATAAAATTAAACACGTCGCCCGAACATTGAAAAATTAAAAAATATCATTATCCTCTAGTCGGAATTGGGCAATCCGACTAGAGGTTTATTTATTTATTTATTGTTTGGTTTAATGAAGTTGGCAGGATTTCTAAAAATTAAAAAAATAACATACCTAGTCGGAATTGGGAAATCCGACTAGAGACCAACCCTAAAAATCACCCTAGTCGGAATTGGGAAATCCGACTCCCGTGTTTTGGTAACCTAATCCTAACTCCCGTGTTTTGGCCTGTCAGACTCCAAAAGCCCGTGTTTTGGTAATTTCCTCTTTATGGGTCAGGTGGTGTTTTCTAGACGTGCAAATAACTGAAAACTAACGCTATACACTTTCTCACCGTTTATTTTATACTCTATTCGAGCAAATAAAAAATAGTGTTTTTTTTTTTCAAAATATTAATAATTAATATAAAACTTAATTATAAATATATGATTAATAATTAATATAGACTCACAGTTATTTAAGTATAAAAATTAAAAAATATTATTATGATTAAGTTACTACTATAATCACTACGGATGTTTTCTTTTGGACTGTTTTCAGTCCCAGACCAGACCAGGACAGATCAGACCAGAACAGACCAGATCAGACCAGACCAGACTTCCGTAGTTATAAAATACACAGAGACCAGACGTTTACCAGACCAGACCAGTTCAGACCAGACCAAACCAGACAAGACCAGATTAGACCAGACCAGACCAAAAAATTTCAGTCCAAAAGAAAACATCCTACATATGAGGTCGCATTTTTTAAAACAACTTTTATTTTAATTATACATCTGTAATATTTATTGTGGTGATTGTCATGCATGTACCCATATAAAAGTGAGATTATTTTAGCTATCATTCATTTTGTTGAAATAATTATTATTATTATTTCACCGTTTATTTATACTCCCTCAGTTCCTAAATAAACTTCACACTTTTCTTTTTGGGTAGATTCAAAATAAACTTCGCACTTCTATTTTTGGCAACTTTTTAATGTACACTTACCATTAAACTCTTACTTTATTACATAATCCGTACTTTACACCCATTTTCTCTCTCTCTCTCTCTCTCATTACACCTAGAGGTCGTTTGCCAACACTGTTTTTTGACTTATCAGGCTTATCAGCCAGATTTTTCACCAAACACGTAACTTTTGCTTTTGCGCGCTGAATTGTGTAATAAGCAGAAAAGTAAGGTTGGAATTACTTTTCTGGTTGTATTGGCTGAAGTTACTGTAGATGACCATTTTAGCTATTTTTACGTATAATTTTTTCTTTATTTTATTAATAAAATATATTTTAAAGATAATTTTTTCTTAAATCAGCAGAATCAGCCATAACAGCCATAACTTCATAAATTTCAGCAGAATCAACCTAATCAGCCGATTTTCATGCTACCAAACGAGCTCCTAATCTACTTTTTGTATGGGCATGCTGGGAAAGTCAAAAGCGAAAATTCCACTCTCTTTAAAAATCGTAAAGTCAAACTATGAAATTTATTTAAGATCAGATGAAGTATTTTAATTAGGGATATTTTGACTTTGCATTCCGTTTTTTTGTGATATTAGACTATGTACCTCATTTTCAAAACTTTTAGACTTTTTCCCCTATCATGCAACATTTTGTGAAGATTAATTCCTGAATGGGATGCAAAGGCAAAGACATTTTAGGGAAGAAACCGAGATATGGTGAAAAGTCTAATTTTTTTTAAAATGTGGTGCAAAGTCCAATATCACCAAAAAAGCGGAGTGCAAAGTCAAATTATCGCTTTTAATTATTCAATTGCAATTGATCCTTGTGGACCATGTATGGTACCTTGAGCGAGGGTACCATAGAATCACCAAAAAATTATAGAATTTTGCTTGGGGTACACAAAATGTGTACACATGTGTGTCCTTCGGAGAAAATTTGTCTGTCACAGACAACTCATAATGAATTGTCTGTGACAGACAAATTTTATTCGAAGGACAGACATGTGTACACATTTTGTTTACCAAAAACATTTTCCAAAATTATAACTCCTTTTGTCCAAATATCATCTCCATTCTTTATGTTATCACCAGTCTCAAAATCAACATCATTTTTATTGCAAGGAGTTCGTGATTTATATTATTTCTCTCCACTGCATAATTTTCAATCACATAATTTTCACTTTCTTAATTTGCGTACAAATTCAAAATTGGAGTTAATATTAGAAGCTCTATATTTTTACTTTTTAATTCATAAATAGGAGTGTCACGATTTATTGTCATATCTAAAACATGTTTATAATGTTGCAATATGATAGCAGCAAAGGTTTAGAACCAATTTTTTTGAATGAAAATAACTTACTCACATTCGGGGGAAAGATAATAATCATATTTTAAAATTTTATGTTATTTTCACTTCTACTCAAGAAACTTTTTTCATTAGTTTTTTTCTTAGCCCTGACGTATCATGCAAATAGGAATAAAAATGGCCTAAATGGAAATATAAACGTTTAGAGAAAATTTCAAAATAGAAGTAACATGTTTTTATTCTTAAATATATGTTTTTATTTTTGAATTTGACAATAATTACTCATATTTAGGGAATACAAAAATGACAATCCTAACATAGAGTTTCAAAGCGTTTTTACTCATATTTCGAGAACTTTCATAATTTAATTTTGGTAGCCCTGTCGAATTCCTTTAAGTTAAAACATGATTAATATGTTATTAAAGTCTATTACTCCGTATTAAGGGAGTGTTTGCAACTGCTTCTGATTAAAAAAAAGCACTTTTGGAGATGTAATGAAAAAGTGATTAGTAGTAAAAGTTGATAGTGTTTGAGAAAAAAGTGATTTTGAAAAGTAAAAGTTGGTAGTGTTTAGTAAAATAAGTGTTTTTTGTGTAATAGAAAAGGGAAAAGCACTTTTCACACGCAAGCCGAGAAAAAGTAAAAATTGGAAGTGTTTGGTAAATAAGTGCTTTTTTAAGCCAAAAGCTGAGAAGTGCTTTTTTTTAAGCTATTGCAAACACTCCCTAAATAGATGGTTGAGCAAAAGATTCTAAATGCCAACTCTCAAGGCAAGGTCAGCCTAGGGGTGGCCCGGTTCCGGTCTGACCGGCCCGGGAACCGGACCGGACCGCAACTGTGCGGGAAGACATTCAAATGAATTCTTGAAGATAACTGTGCAGTTAAAAGCGCAATTATCTTCAAGAATTCATTTGAATGCATGCCTTCTCGATTGAAGTTTTAGCTGAAATTTGGTATGAGTAGACTAGACTTAATGAATAAGATGCTCACAAAACTTCATCAAAAAATTCCACTGGAAACTGCCCCAAATGGCAACGGTCGGACAGAACCTCCTATATAAGGGCTTATTTGACATTTTTATGTAAGCTCAAGGGCCTATCTGATCCTTTTCCCAAATAAATTCGATTTCTTATGAGTTTTTCCTAAAATATTGCATTGCTATGTAGCACCGATACCGGTACGCGGAAACGCGGAAACGCGGAAACGGGGATACGTCAAAACCAAAAAAGGTAGGATACGGATACGGGGCCATATTTATAAATATTAAAAGTTATGGGGGTGTATTTACAAATACTAAAAGTTATAGGGGTCTATTTATAAATATTAAAAATAGATTTTTTTTAATATATATATATATACACACACACACATATAATATCCTATGATGTCTACCTATTCATTGCTTTGAAGCATTTTCCTTTTTCAAGATACTTAGTAATAAATTCATAATATTTCTCATATACACTAGTCATCTCGAAATATAAATATAGTCAATAAGTCATTAATTTAAAATGAGAAATAAGTCAAACAACTACAATCTTGAAATTAAAAGTGCAAGTATCCAATTCGGAGTATGAGTTAATGACTTAATTCGGATATAGCCATATAGGCCCATTATTTGATTACCAAGTAAAATGTAGTTTTAGATTTTCATTTTTTTTAGAATTTTATTATGTAAATTTTGAGTTTTTTTTAAAAGTAGATACGGGTATCCGTCAGGATACGAGTATCGGAAACTTTCAAAAAATTACAAAAAAAAATGGAAACTTTTAAAAATTGCAGATACGGCCCGGGAACGTACGGTACGGGTATCCTAGAGTATCGGATACGGGAACGTATCGGATACGCCGATACGCTACCCTAGCGAAGTATCCGTGCTTCATAGTTGCATTGTGATTAATAGAAAAATTCTGAACAAAGATGTGACTAAAATTATTGTAGATATACTTTATAATTTTAATTTTGTAATTATTCGAATATCGATCTGATGGCAACTGTTAAACCATAGCACAAGCCATTAGGATCAAATTTGGATTAAGTAGATGTAAGAAGTACATAGACCATAGTACATCAAATATCTTTCGTTTGAAGGGTTTAATATACTGATACAACAGGCATATAATCACACTAAGGACACACTCCTAAACATGACATATCATACTGAGAAATAAGCTGTAAGAAAATACCCAAATCAGCAGAAGAAAAACAAGACCACTAGAGGTTTCTACCCCATTTTTAATGCCGATTCAAGTAATAGGAAACAAATCGAATTTGAACAATAAAAAAGCATGAAGCAAATAGTTCCAATCCATAATATCTGATCTACTAAAGGTCTGTAAGTCTGTTACTTCTGGCTCACAGTACCTTTCTTCTTCATAAAGCTTCCAAACTTACTTAGCAAAGGCTTCTTCTTCTTTGGGCTTTGTTGCGTTCCCGGAGAGGCAATCACATTATTGTCATGCTTTTCTATTGATGATTTTAGCCCATTTGGCTGATCATACTTCTTCTCACACACCTCTTCCTTTTGCTCTGGATCCTTTTCTGGTTCAGCCACTCTTTCTGGACTTGAATCTTTCTCCCCAAACTGGAAGCTCTCCTGCCTTTCAAACTCACCTTCTTCTACACAACCGTTATCTTTCTTTTCTTCCCTCACACTCTCTTTCACTTCAAGTTCTTCAGTTCCATTACTATCATCTTGGGGTTCACCTCTGGCCACTTCATTTTCTTGAACTTCTTCCTTTAGCGTAGGTTTTTCTTCTGCAACACCATTTTGTTCTACATCTGGTTGGAGCATATCAATATCTTTTTCAGTCTCTGTAAGCTCTCCGTCTTCTCCATCTTGTTTTCTAGCCAAAGCTTCTTCATGCATTAAGGACAATTCCTCAATCTTCTTCAATGCCATTGCCTCTCGGATTTGAAGCTCCTCATTCTCCTGCAGAATACTTTGCAGTTCGGTTTCTTTCTCCATCAGAGACTCCATAAGTCTCATGCCCTCGGCCTTAGTGTCCCTGAGAACCTCCCTTAGATAGATGACCTCACGCTCGGTCTCACTCAAGCTTGTTTTCAAATTTGCTTCGCTTTCTCTTGCATTCGAAGCTTCTTCTTGTGCGTGTTTTAATAAGTTTGCAAGTGTATCAATTTCTTTTTCCATTGAAGAACTTGCTTCCTCGGCTTTTGTGATCAAATTACGCTCCTTTTCCTCTTGCTCAGCTTTGAAGATATCATAGTCTTGCTTAGACTGGTCAACAGTCTTTGTGAGCAAATCAATTTCTTGCTTTGCATCGCCAAGCATATCTTCATACTTCTCATTTGTGTTTTTCAGTGCTATCTTCAGATCTTCAATCCGTGTTTCATACTCTTTAGTCTCTTCTTGGCTGGACAACAGCTTCTCGTTGGCTTCTCTCGCTTGCGAAGAGACTTCATGCAAAGCTGATGTCAGATCCTCCACAGCTCTCTTGCTTGCTTCTTCTTCCTCCCTGGAATTCTTCAAGTCCTCAAGAAGTCTATCTTTTTCTTCCAACAGCTTTTCGACACTCTCGGCTGCTAGTTTTTCGTTCATCAAAGCTTGAATTTTCTCATCCTTTATGATGTTTAGCTCGAAGCTAAGGGATTCGACCTTTCTCACAAGCTCAGAGGCCTCTTCCTGGGTTATCTTAAGGTGATATTCTGATTCTTCGAGCTCTCCTTTATTTCTTTCAATGGAGGATTCCAATGACATAATCTTCTCTTTGAGAGAAGCAATTTCAGATTCTGCCTTGTGGAGCGATTCGTTTCTATCTTCCAATTGCTTCATGGAAGATTCTAGATGTTCCAATGAAGACCTCTCGTTTCTATGCGCTTCTTCAGTCTCGAGCTCTAATGCATTAACTGTCTTCTTCCATTCCTCCACCAAATTGCACGCATATGATTCGGCGATCTTCGAAGCCTCCAAATCAACTTTGAGTTTCTCTAAGATATCCTCTTTCTCCATCAATTCCAGTTCGTAATTTTTTGTTCTCTCGAGTTCTTCTCGGAGAGTCTCTATCTCGAGATTCATCTCAGATCTGGAATCCACCATTGATTTGACGCGCGCCAACTCTGCAGTTAGGGTTTTGATATTTTCAGCGTGAATCTCGGCGACTTTACTGGCTTCGTTTGCCCGGGAGAGAGCCTGGTTTTTGGCATCGTTCGTCACGGCGAGCTCGTGTTTGACCAGGTCAAGCTCCTGTGTGATGGACAGAAGAGAAGACGAATCCAACGCTTGTTGATTCCTCACTGCTTCGATCTCTTTCGCCCATTTCTGCTCTTTTTCGTGAGCAGCTTCGATGCCGGCTTGCTCCATCTCCACAGCACGGAACTTGTCGATTTCGGAGTTCTCTTCCGCCCGCTTTTGAGCTATCAAAGCTTCCCTAAGCTTCTCGTTTGCTTCATCTGCTAACCTCTTTGCTTCCTTGAGATCATCAAGAGCTTGGGCTTTGTCCTTCTCTACGGACGCTATCTTCTCCCTGGCTTGCTTGAGATCTTCCTGAGCAAGACTGAGTTCTGTCTGGAGCTCTGATGGCTTCAGTATTCGAGTTGGCTTTTTCTGAGAAACCAAAATCAAACAGAAACTCAACATTTCAGCTCAGCATATAAGTTTTATCAGCAGGTACAATGATGTTCATCAAATTGTTAAACCTTTTGCTAAGAGTTCTGTAACAGAGAATGCTGTAAGAGCGTAGACAAGAACATCAACAGTATTCTGAGCAGTTTTTCCAGAAGACTGTGTAGCCATTCAACCATATGAAGGCAGTTTGATAATCAACAGGCTTATTTTTTCACTAAAAACTCAATCTTTTATTTGTATGACAAATTTTTCATAATCAAAATAAATAAGATTGAGATTTTTTGGCTGAATTTGATGAAAAGGATAATTTTAGTTTTTCATTGAAAAATTATGTGTTTTATTAATTAAATACTCCATATATTTTTCTTGATTCAGAAATTTGATCAATCTCAGCACTACCAAGTGGACTCTTATTTGGGTAAGAAATTATCTTTTTGGGAATGAGAAAGCTTTTTGGTAACATCTACTTTAGGCAAATAATCACTACATACTTAGGAATATTTTACGCCATACGTCTGGTTTTAAAGTTTCGAGTTCAGTTTACAATAAAGATCATTGACATATACTCCGTATACATCAGTATTAATAATTAAACTTTAAATATTCAGAAACTACTCTGTAATCCTATAAATTGTGAATAATATTCTGAATACTCCATATGATAAATATTACGGAGTACTCCCTAATACTCCGTATCATTCGAGCTAAATTGTGAGTGCATTTATGAAAACCTTAAACTACAATTATGAGTGCATTTATAGAGTAAGCAGGTTTTGACTTTCGGCTTATTTGCCAAAAAAGGATGTTACTGGACACTTATCTTTTTACAAAACTAATTATTAGACCTTACCATTGTTCTAAAACTCGCTAGGCGCTAGTCGGGCGGTTGAGGGGCGCCTAGCGCCTAGGCGGCCGACTAGGCCGATTTTTAGGCCGACTAGCCCGATTTTTTGGCCGACTAGACCGATTCGGCCTCTACAGTTAGGGCCGACTAGGACGCCTAGGCCGATTAATCGGTCCGCCTAGGCCGATTTTTAGAACAATGGACCTTACCGAACAGGCCATGATTCTGCTCACAAAGCACAAATTGCAAAATATTGGATTTGAGCTCATTTGAACACTTCACAGCAGATAGACAGACAAGAAACAAGAAAACATCAACAGCAGGACACAGTGAAACTGACAGCACTCACATCAGGTGGAGTGGCAAGCTTAGTGGAAGGCCTCTCCGCAGAAGAAGCCTTAGGAGCAACCGGTTTCGGAGACTTGTCAACTGAAGAGCGCAAGTTCTGCAAAGGCGAGTCAGCATCAAACTTGGATGCTCCCCTGCTCACTTTACCCCCACCCCTAGGAGTTGCAGGTGAAACTTTACTCTTTGGGGTTTCTGGCAGTGTAGATCTGAAACCAAAGTTCAAACAACAAAAACCCACAACCGAAATGGCATTTTTAGTACATGTATGTACACACACTCTTGCCAGATCCAAATTAAACAAAGAAATGCTGACAAAAAAGTCCAAAGATTGAATTTTTTTTCCTACACTCACTACCCAACAACAGAATCATGAATTCTGGGCTGTTTTACTCACTAAACGTGCGTTTTTGCAGAAATTGCAGTGAAAGAAAAGCATCAGATCCAAAAACAACAGCTGCCGTTTACAATAAAAGGTAATAACAGAAAAATCAGATCTGGGTTTTTAAACAATCACTTACTTGGACTTGGTGGACATGGTGATAGTGGGGAGCAGATAGTTTACTGGATTAGCAGCAGATGGGAGAGGTGGTTCTGAAGAAGGGGAAGTGTAGATGCTTTATTATGCTGAAATCCTGGAAAGAGTTAGGTTGTTTCTGTAGTGGAGCAGGAGGAGGACATGATACAACCCAGATTGACGATTAGACCAGCTTTGTGGTATGATATTTAGAGGGTTATAGTTCTATATTCTGGTGGGGGGTTGTATCAATCAATTCAAATTGTGTAATTATAATAAAATGTCGAAGTCTTGTAGAAGAAAAAAGATTTGTAGGATGTATGGTAGCAGAAAGTAAGCAGGATGCAAAGAAGTGATGTGAATGAAGAATTTACAGAGAAATCATTTTTTTTTTTATTTTGGAGTGAGGATCCTGCTCCCTCTATTAGCAAGAATACTTGGTACGGAATACTGCTACAAATTGGCGGCAGTTAATTATTAAACTCGTTGAAAATATGTTAGGTCCAACTGCTAGCAAGTTACTCATTTCTGGGTGACTTATGGAGTATGAGATATGAAATTTAAGAATCCATTTGATAGCATGAAAATCGGCTGATTTGGCTGATTCTGTTGAAATTTATGAATTTCTGGATGAAATGGTTGCATTGGCTGACTCTGCTAATTTAAGAAAAAATTATTATTAAAATATATTTTATTAATAAAATAAAGAAAAAAATATATGTAAAAATAACTAAAATGATCATCTACAGTAACTTCAGTCAATACAGCCTGAAAAGTAACTTCAACCTTACTTTTTCTGCTTATTACACAATTCAGCACACGAAAGCAAAAGTTGTGTGTTTGGTAAAAAAGTTAGCTGATAAGCCTGATAAGCCGAAAAATTATGTTGCCAAGCGGCCTCTTAAGATTAGTGATGAAATCAAGAATCTAATACTATCTATTAGACGGATTTAGGATCACATACAAAGTCATCTTAATTTACAAAGTGCAAATTAATCCTAGCCATTCATTTCAATGAGATCAACCATGTATTAATTTGGAAGATCCTAAAATTTCTCCAAAGTTACCTAACCACATGGAGTTGAAATAAAATACGGATTACATCCCCACTAACGAATGGTTATTAGTGGCCCAATAAATTGTTACCATTGATTTTGTAAGTTTGGCCGGATGAGATGAATTTGTATTTTGTATGAGAGGTATGCTTTGTATCCGATCTTAACCCCTATTAGACGAGTCTAAAATTAAAAGTGTTTAAAGTTTTACTACTTACGGAGAGGCCGTTTGGCAACACTGTTTTTCGGCTTATCAGCCAACTTTTTCACCAAACACGTAACTTTTACTTTCGCGAGCTGAATGGTGTAATAAGCAGAAAAAGTAAGGTTGGAATGACTTTTCTGTCTGTATTGGCTGAAGTCACTATATATGGTCATTTTAGTTATTTTTACATAAAAAAAATTTCTTTATTTTATTAATAAAATATATTTTAAAAATACTTTTTTTTAAATCAGCAGAATCAGCCAATGCAGCCACTTCAGCCAGGGCTTCATAAATTTCATCAGAATCATCCAAATCAGCAGATTTTCGTGCTACCAAACGGGCTCGGAGTATTAGATAGGCTAAAGTGGTTTCAACTCTCATTAACTTCAACATTGATTCATTCTAATTTCTCTCCTATGAGTCTTTTCCAATTGGAATTGCTCCATATAGATAGTATAATTCTTCGTAAATACATATTTATAAGCGAATTTACAATTCGTATTAATATGTTACTCCCTCTGTCCCTCAAAATTGGCCAAGTTTAGTTGATATGGGGATTGATAAAGTAAAAACTTTGTGATTGAGGTTTGCACAAATTGGCAAACTTAATTATACAATGAAAAAATTAAAGGAAAATTGATTTTAACGAACAGGAGGAGTATTAAGTTAATATTACTATAATTTTTAAGTGCAATCACTGTAATGAAACTTATTCTGTACTTTTTCTAAATGGATAAGGGTTTGAATCCTTTCTAATAATATCTTTGAAATTTACTTGTACGTTAGCATCTTTAAAACTTTAAACACGATTAAAACGAACATAAAAATTCAATCTAATAAATAGTTGTAATGACATTCTTGCAAACGCATAATATGAATTGATTTTTTAATTTGTATAAAGAAAGACAGTTCTCTCTACACACTTATACATTTGCAACTTAAAATAGTTATAATTTCACTATTAATCCGCCCATATCTGATGCATTTTTATTGACATAATTTTAATATATTAAAAGTTGTCTCATTAATATTTGTTTCTAAAAAACAAAATTTATATCAATTCGTATATAAATTTTTACATTAAATTACCCACTCGGACTTAAATAAATCTTTACTTGATATTTTTTCATAGGTGATGAAAATTTTCAGAAATATCACAAGCATAATTATTATCGTAAGATGAACATTTAACTAATGATTAATCAGAAATTATTCTTGGTATACACACTTTACATTCAGCTGAAAGAGTCTGTTCATAGGCAAATGTTTTCAAGTGGGTAAAAGTGTGTACAAAAATAAAATGTGTTCAACAAGTTTTTTTTTCTTATTAATTAATCTGTTAATTATACGTGCCGTCTGACGATGAACAATATGGTACTCGGTATAAAACTAGAGCGTAATCCTGGTCAAATTCTGTAAAAAAAAAAGTCAAAAGAAAAGAGGGGTCCACTAAGGAATGGTGGCATTTTTTTCTTTACAAAACCCATAAATACTGAAAAAGAAGAGGAAAAATAAAGAAATAAAAATAAAGCAAGGAACCGTGGATCCATCCATCGAAGCCGGGTGCTTTTTCTGCATAAAGACACAAAAAACTGTTAGATTCCGTCACATCAATGTTTTTTCTCCACATGCCCCTCCCCCACTGGGTATCATCGTCTTTTACTGCCTAACTTCTTCATGTCAAAACACACTTTGTTTTAGCATAAAAAAATTAAATCCCTTGGGGTGCACCCAGTCTACTTCAGATTAAAACAAAAATTGTGTGATTTAGATTTGTGTCTAATAGAGACAAATGACAGAATCATAAATTGCTTAGTTTAATGATAAAGCTGCAAAATTCTAGGGACAATCAGATTCTTTTTTTATAAAGGGGATGTTCGGTAAATGACGTTTCAGCAAAAAATGGTGGTTTGACACTTTTAGTGTTTTTAATAAATGAAAACGTTATTTGTTAAATAGTTGTTCGGTACTAGCGTTTTTGGACGAACCGCTGAAATGAAAACGCTGCAAATATGAAAGTTTTGGATTAACATTTTGAAATACGACGTTTTTGACCAATTTTCTTCTGACAACCCGCCAACTTATTCTACTAATCAAACCCGCTGATTAAATCCCGCTATTGACACTCCGCTAACATAACCTGTAGTTCACTAACAGGCAACTATTAAATGCCAAACACCCCAAAATCGAATGGACGGAGGAGGTAATCCAATGGGATAGGCTGACTTTGCGTATACCAATTGTATACATGCATACATCTATGAAATAAGTAGCCTTTTAGGGATTCTAGAAAAAGATAAGTGCAATTTAAAAAGTCCACATGCCTAGTTTGCTTCTAATTTAAGAACCTATTTGGGTGACCGCTATAAAATACTCTGTATAAAATGATGATCTGGCAATAATGGTATACTTAAGCGGAAATGAGGTGAATTTAGAAGTTTTTCTCAATTGATAATCATTCTTTTTCTTTGGGCATCCGATCGAGTGATATCGGTTTTGGTTCAGTTTTTATCACTTTCACATTGGAAGAATGATTACGAAACTAATATCATACTCCGTACTATCTTTCCGTTTGGTTTGGTTTGCATTTGTTATTTTATAGTTATATACTCCGTATAAAGATATTTATTGAATTTCTTTAGTTTGACTCGATTTTTCTCGATTTTGCCATTTCGGTTTGATTTAATTTCATACGGTTTGGAAAATATGTTACGGAGTATCAAACTGCATGTGTTTTAGTTTGGTTTGGAACAATTTGATTTGATATGATTTTGCATAGTGTAAGTAATCCGTGTATAGTTTTGCATCAAACTTCATGTTGGAACGATATATTGCGTTTTCTGAACCATGTATTGAAAGCACTAATATCGCGAATGAGACAATGAGTGATCAAAAATTAAGAAAGAGCAGAAGCTTAATTGTTTAGATATGTCTGTGTGTTTAAGGATCTAAAATGAGTTCTAGAGCTGTAATTAAGAAAGCTTGACACCAAGCAGAAAAAGAGCACCTCGCTGTCTTGTTTTGAATTGCAAGCTTATGGTGGTGTCCTGATGCTTGAGTTGTATAGTTTGCGCGGTTAACCAAACACTATTTTACATATCGTTAATACTAGCATCTGTCTGATAAACCCTAGAGATTTTGATTTTGAGTATAACTTATCTCTCTCTCTCAGACTTTATTGCAATCTGATTTGCATGTTTACAAAGAAATTAATCACGATAGTGTTTAGGTGAAACGAAAATTACTTCTGAGTGGCACTCGATCGAGAGGCAGGATATAAAATTTAATCCAACCCAAACCCTTTCTGGTTCATTTTTGCGCAGGTTTAACGCATCGAGAATTATTAGATCGCTCGGGGATCCCTTTTGGCACCGTATTAAGATCCCGAGAAGAGGTACAAGGCTAACCAAGAACGAATAAAAGCTTTCTATATATTGATTTTTTGCTTTTGTCTTTAGCTTTTCCCTCTAATTTTTGTTCTTCTCTCATTAGCAGTTGTATTTTTCTATGTTTCTTTTATAATATTTTTTTTTTTGCAAAAATAAATATATGAAATAAAATAAATTTCTCCTCTATAAACTAACACAAGCTTTAGACCCACTTTGAAGAGTAGTTTTTATGAAGTCACATATAATTCCTTCAAACTTTTGCGCCTTTGAACCTTAAAGCACGTGGCAATTGTGCTTCTTCAAATAACATTGTGCAAATCTCAAATACAATACATATATGATACGTATTTTGGTCTGGTAGGTCAATATGCTTCTTTGAGAAATGTGACAGCTATCAACAAGTCAACATTCACACCACAATTGGGAAAGAGTTTAGAGCATCCGCAATGCTTGAATGTCTAGTCTTAAAAAATTATGCCAAATGGCTAATAAATAATGGGCTTTCTAGTACACATATTAGGAAGTGCAACGACCAGATATTAAACTATAAAAATTGTCTCCAATGCATACTGTCTCACCGGCCCAATTTTGGTGTCGGAATTTAATACGGAGTCATTTAAAAATAATAATCGTACTAAATTATACCGGCGGCCATTGATGCAAAAAGAAGCTTCCCATCTCTTCACCAATTTCAACTACGCAGAACATCAATTCAGCAAAGCAATTCATCTTTAATATTCTTTGACAACACAAAACATCAATTTATCTTTAATGGATTAAGAATATTCAAATTTGTTTAGATTCATCAAAACAATCTAAATCAATAACGCCAAATTCTTCACCCACTTGTCCGATAAGTAAAAATTAATTGTCCTCATGCGGCAGCAACTACAAGGTACAAGGATGACC